GACCGGACACTTGGGTGGTTCCCGGTTCGATCGATCGGACCGGTCGTCCGTTCCGAGTTTAAAACACAGATTTTCTGTCTATTCATGACCCTCAGGCCCAAAATATATACAATCAAAAGGAAACTGGAAAAGGAAATTGATCCCTAATCTACTGCAACTACCAAAAAGTAATCAATCCCTACTCTTCCTCAACTACCAAAAATAATTATTAGAGAATAACTACCAAAAATAACTCCTATCTTCACGCAATTACAACCCAAATATATACACACAACATTCTGCAATCTGCAATAACCCCCTCAAGTTAGTGCGTGGAGATCTCGAACGCCCAACTTGCAAAGAAGATACTCGAACTGTTGTTTTCCAAGCGCCTTGGTGAAAATGTCGGCTAATTGTTCTGAACTGCGCACATATGCAGTTTCTATATTTCCATTTTGAATTTCACTGCACACAAAATGACTGTCAACTTCTATATGATTTGGTTGTTCATGAAACACCGGATTTGCCGCAATATGCATGGCTGCTTGACTGTCACAATAAAGTTTCATAGGTCCAGAATGCATTACCTCTAGAGAAGCCAGCAACCCTTTCAACCATTTTAATTTACAAATCATGGTAGCCATAGATCGATATTCCGTTTCAGCAAATGACCTAGACACGGTATGTTGCTTCTTAGTTTTTCAGGAAATAGGTGAGTTTCCCAACAAAACAAAATATCCAGTGAGTGAACAATGAGTTAATGGATAACTTGCCCAATCAGAATTACAGTATGCGCGCAACTGCAGGTTGCAGTCCGATTGGAGAAATATACCTTGCCTAGGTCTACCTTTCAAGTAACGAACCATGCGCAAAGCCGCTTCCCAATGTTCTTCTTTTGGCTTTTGCATAAACTGAGCAAGAACATGCACATCATAGGACAACTCAGGTCACGTAAGTGTCAAATAGATCAATCGTCCGCCTAACCGTCTATACTTTTCTGGGTCTGTCAATAGCATGCTCTCTGCCATTGCCAAGCGATGATTCTGCTCTATCGAAAATCAGTTGGTTTGGAACCCAATAACCCAGATTCAGTAATAAGATCCAACGCATACTTACATTGACAAAGAAAAATGCCATTCTTATTTCTGGCAACTTCCATATCCAAGAAATATTTCAATACTCCCAAATCTTTCATATGAAAGCACTGACATAACTATTTCTTGAATTTCTGAATTGCAACACCATTATTTCGCCCAATCACAAAATCATCAACATACACCAGGATACATATTTGTATGTTGTTTTAATTCAGAGTAAACAATGAACAATCAGAATAAGATTGAGTAAAGCCATACCGCTGCAAGGTATTAGTGAGTTTAGAGAACTAACACCTTGGAGCTTGTCGCAACCCGTAAAAAGACTTTCACAATCGACATACGTTTCCTGGCTGGGGAGCTGTAAAACTAGGAGGCATCTTCATATAACTTCCTCTACTAAGTCTCCATGTAAAAATGCATTGTGAACGTCCATTTGGTGGAGTTCCCAGTCCTTCGCTGCTATCACAGACAAGAAAGTTTGAACGGTTACCATTTTTGCAACAGGAGCAAACGTCTCATTGTAGTCAATCCCTCGACCTGATTGTTTCCAAGAATCACCAAACGTGCCTTATACCGCTCGATTGTTCCGTCAGAATTATATTTGATTTTGTATACCCATTTGCTACAGATCGCTTTCTTCCCGGTGGTAGATCTTCCACCGTCCATGTCCCATTTTTCTCAAGCGCCTCAATTTCACTTGCCATAACTTATCTCCATTAAGAGTCCTTCACTGTTTCACCATAGAAGGTTGGCTCTCTACCAGTTGTTACCGCTACTAAGAAAGATCGGTGACACATAAAAAATTAATCACAATTCACATAATGCAATATAGGATAAGGAGTACATAGGGATGGAATTGATTTGGGAGCATGCAGAAGGGCTTACGCATCTAGCTGTATATGTCACATAATCTATCAAACGACTAGATGAGCGCTTTATTCAATGATCTCGCCCAAGTTGTTCATCAACCGTCCCAATCTCTTCACTTGTGGTGCCCCTTTCTTCGTTATTCTCTTCACTGTGAACCCGGTTTGTGATTTCTGATACTTCACTTGGAATATCCACTATTAGAATGTCTACTCTTTCATCAACCACTTCCTTTTTGGTGCGATCAGAGGCTTCAAAAAAATTTAACCTCGAAACACCTCGCGGTGCATCTGGTGCACCATCATATGGAAACTCATTCTCTGAAAATACCACATCTCGCGAAACAAAGTATTCACCAGTATCAAGATCATACAATCTCCATCCCTTCTTACCAAAAGGATATCCCACAAACAAACAACGCTGACTCTTGCTTGCAAATTTATCCTTGTCTCGATTCAAGTCTCGAGCATGGCACAGACACCCAAAAATTCGAATATGCTTGTAACTGGGTGGTTTGCCGAACAAACATTTGTAAGGCGTCTTATTCCCCAGGAGTTTGGATGGAGTCCAATTTATTAAATATCCTGCGGTTAGCATACATTCTCCCCAAAATTTAATGGAAGATTTGCTTGGAATCACAGTGCTCTAGCTACATTCAGAATATGACGGTGTTTCCTCTCAACACGTCCATTTTGCTGAGGTGTTCTCACACATGAAGTCTGATAGATCATCCCATTTTCAGCAAAATAATTATTCAAACAGGTGAATTCCTTGCCATTATCACTTCTAACAATTTTCACATCCCTGTTGTATTGACGTTTGATCATAACAAAGAAATTTTGTAGTATGTGTTCCACTTCAGATTTAACCATTAACAAATAAATCCACATAACTCTTGAAAAATCATCAACAATGGTTAAAAAATATGATGCACCACACGAAGCAGGAGTTCGATAAGGTCCCCATAGATCACAATGAATCATCTCAAAAATCTCATTTGCTTGATTTTCACTAGAATAGAACGCTGCTCTAGTCTGCTTGGCCCTTAAACAAATATCACATGATTTTTCTTTAACTAAACTATTACCACCAGAATTAACATTAAAAAGTAACTCTACTAGTTTCATAGATGGATGTCCCATTCTTCTATGCCACAGGTCATTGGTATCTAGACGATTTGCATTACATGCCTTAATGTCTGCCATAGACTTGAGGTAGTAAAGCCCTTTGCATCGTTCACCTACTCCAATCACCATCCTCGAAACAGGGTCTTGTCTAACACATAATTTTTCAGTGAACAGGATAAAACAATTCAATTCATCAAGCAATTGCGACACTGAAATTGAATTGCAATTCAAGTTTGGGACGTAAAGCACATTTTTCGACTTTATATGTTCGTCCAAACGAACTAACCCTTCTTTTAAGGCTATTATTGGTTGCCATCGGGCAACCCCACTGCACATCCTAATAATTCTTTTAAATTAGTCATATATGCTAAACTTCCCGTCATATGGTGGGAGCGCCTGAATCAATTATCCAGTTCAAACAATTCTTACCAGACAATTTCTCACTGGTACCCGATTTGCAAGGATTCAGCAAACTTAGAAAGGCTGCCCACTGTTCACTACTTATCAATCTATGCACCGCATGTTCCCCTTCTGCAACCTCTGCCGACAAGGAGGATTGACTAACCGTCTGAGTAGTGTTAGCTTTAGGTGCACTCCTACGTCCCCGTCCTGAATTCTGGTTCCCGCGTCCACGTCCTGACCTGCATCCAATCTCTTTGGGCCAATCACCCCACCAATCAGGATATCCGATAAGTTAAAAACAGTTTTCAGCATCATGTCCGCCACGGTTGCAGTATGAGCATAATGCAGGCTTATCTTTTGTCCTAGTTCTAAGTCTCCCGCCTCCTATGTTGGCATGAACGACAAAGCTGATGGGCTCCCCACATCCCTCCTTTTCTTTTGACATGTTTCGGACACGCTCCTCGTGACATATCAACGAGTATGCCTTACTGATGCTAGGTAGTGGTTCAGTGCTTAGAATGTTGGAACGAATCGTTCCATACATCGTGTCGTCCAAACCCATCAAGAATTGATGGACTTTTTCTTCCTCGCGCTTCTTGTCAAATTGGACTGAGAGATTGCACATGCATCTTCCACATTGACATGTTGGAATCTGATCATAGTTTGCAAATTCTTTCCATAAGTGCTTCAACCTTCCATAATAGGTCACAATTGGAAGTCCTCGCCGTTTCCACTCCGCAAGTACCCCTTTGATCTGTTGAACTCGAGGCTTGTTAGCAATAGACAAGCTCTCTTGGATATCTTCCCACAAATCCTTTGTGATCTCTATATAAGTTATGGTAGATCGTATAGTTGGTTCTATTGTATTGAGAATCCATGATACCGCCATTGAATTCACAGTCCACCAATCCTCCAGATCGGGAGAATCATCATCAGGTTGTTTCACCGTTCCATCAATAAAGCCACACTTCTTCTTGGCTCTCAACGCGGTTCGCATCGCTCAAACCCATTCGTCGTAGTTGTCCCCTTTCAATTGTACCTGGGTGATAATATTTCCAAGATTGTCGTTCGAGATCAAGATGTATAGTGAGACAAGTTTTCTTCCTTCAATATTCTTTTTCTTCGTATCGTCGTCCATGGCTCTGATACCATGAAAGGGAATCTTTTGAGAAATGTTTTCTGTCTATTCATGACCCTTAGGTCCAAAATATATACAATCAAAAGGAAACCGAAAAAGGAAATTGATCCCTAATCTACTGCAACTACCAAAAAGTAATCAATCCCTACTCTTCCTCAACTACCAAAAACAATTACTAGAGAATAACTATCAAAAACAACTCCTATCTTCAAGCAATTATAGCCCAAATATATACACAAAATATACACACAACATTCTGCATTCTGCAATAATAAGTGGTCATTGTAGTCTGTGGATCGCCACTATATACATAAGTTTGTCTATCTATAGCTACTACTGCAACTATTACATCTCACACTCTATTCACAATTCCCAATCGATCATCAACTGCTAATTCTCTTGAATCCGAGGAGCTTTAGGCCATGAAACAACCACAATTTGGACAACTTTAGTGATAGCTGTAAGAAGTTGTCCAGTACTTGTAGCAACATGTTGTAAAATCCTTCTATTCCTCTCCTGCCAAAGATACATACTATACAATGATAGTAAGAGATAATCTTCTAATCTTAGTAACAAAGGAGTTTGAACCACCATGGTGACACCACCAATCCATTTCCTGTTCCCAAGGTAAGCACCCCATATATAGCAAGCACAATTTTGCACTTTATCCCATATTCAGTGTTTAAGATATTCAGTGTCTTGATCGCATAACACACATCTATGAAGTATATCAGTCACACCTCACATGGTAAGTCTATCTTTAGTCATCAACTTTTGCTTTAAAATCAACCACAGTATAAACGCATAGTTGGGAACAAAAACTTTTCCTGAATGCCACTTCACTTTTCTATCTGCCTGATAAAGTTTCTTCAAAGCAGATTTAACAGAAAAACACCTAAACCACATACAATCCACTTCACATGATCCTCTCTATGCATTTGCTGCAACATAGAATTGGGAATAGACTCTTGAAACTCTTGCACTATTGCATTAAACCTTCTTCCTTTGGGCTAGGACCGCGTTCTATCATTCACTGGATCACTTATCTTAGAGTTAACAGATAATCCTAAATTTTTATATAAAGATTCGGGATATCTTAAATATAAAAGCCCAAGTGCATGCCAATTATCAAAACAAGAAAAAGTGCTCTTACCATTACCAATGTCAATTTTAATCCATGGCTGAGCAAGATGCCTACGTTGTAACAACTTTCTCCAACACCATGAACAATCAACAAGAATTTTTACTTCCCAAAGACTATGTCCTTTCAGTATCACAAAGTGTATCCATTTAACCCATAAAGTATCATTTTTCTGACATAGATTCCAAATGAACTTAAGGATCAGACACTTATTCCAGTTGGCTATGTTCTGCAGTCCTAGTCCACCATTCTTCTTTGGTTTATAGACATCTTCCCACTTTACTTTTGCTACATAACGTGATTTAATTTCACCAGACCATAGAAATGAGGATAACATGTTGTCAATCCTTTTAAGTACTGCTTTGGGTAGTATAAAAACACCAGTCCAACGGAGGTAGATACCACTAAGGATAGATAAGATAAGCTGCAACCGACCTCCATAGGTAAGCTTTTTTGCTGCCCAACTTTGTACCCTCTGCTGCATCTTCATAGAAACAGGTTGGTAGTCCTTATAGCTGAGTTTTGTTGAAATAAGAGACGAACCTAAGTATTTAACTAGTAGTTCACCCTTTGGCATCTCTAATGTGTTGCACAGTTGCTGTCGCACTTCATCACTCTCACCAGCTACATACACACTACTCTCATGAAGATTAGGCTTCAAACCAGATAAACTTCGAAATTCAGCAATCGTGTCTCTGACCAAACAAAAAGAATGCTCAATAACTGCTGATATTAGAAACAAATCATCTACAAATGCAATATTGGATAGCTCCAAATTTGAACAATACGGATGAAAATCAAATCCTTTCCCTCCAAATATTCCACTTCAACAATATTGAAGTGAATAAAGTTAAGCAGGAAAGAAACAAGAAAGTGGAAAACAAATAAAAGAAGAGAACCTTAAGAGAAACTACATATAAAGGAAACAAGAATTCACTATGAATAGTACTACTAGGACAAGGTCAAAATATTTTAGAACAAGATAGTCAACTATGGAAGATTGAAGAATCTCAAATCGTATGATAAAATTTGGACTTTGTGATGAAGATCAATGTTTATGAATGGAAAAGAAATTTAGGAAACGAGGAAAGGAGACAATGACAACTTGGAAGATAGATGGTTTCTAGCACCAAGTAGCATTATGTAAGCAAGGCCAAAGATGATGATCAAACAGAATTCATTCCATGCCATTTATTTGTTTCACAAGGGGACTTTTCGAATCTCTTGGAAAGTTTGGGTTTTAAGAAATTTATTACAATTAGTGCTTTTGTTTGAAGGCTACTCTATGGAGACATTGAACAATGTTTTGACATGGACAGCTGTAGACTTTTTTTAAAACTATTATTAAGCGGAACACAAGTTTTTCATCATAATGCTGGATCATATCTGTAGAAAGTTGCTTTCAACTTGTTCTGCTTACAATTGTGTATGTACAGTACTAATAGGTTGAGAAAATTATACTTTTGGTACTTGTTTCCACAAATATGTATGTTGCTCGTCAGAAATAAGGGATATTATCTCCATGTCACATACCCTTTATAGTGTGTACTTTTAGCATGTCATTTTTTGAATCAAGAGATTTTTCTATGTTCTGTCCTATTTTGCATTTATATTGCCATTATCTACCAGATGATTTTCTGGGATTTTTGTTTACTATTGTCTTGGTTTCTATAGTACTTTTTTTCTATATTCTTTGAGAAAGATTTCCTTGGTTTTGGTTGTTTTAGATTCCTAAAATCTATAGAGGATTAAATGCATAGCTAGTCTACTTCCATGTGATCTCAGAAAGCTTCTGCATTAGTGGCAGTGAACCTTTTATTTTGTTATTAAAACGATAAACAATTTGTTACACAATTTATTTTGAATACTTTGTGGTTTAAAAGACACGCATTTAAAGTTGCTGAATGTTTTCTTGGCTCTTGGGGCAGATACTTTAACTACTTGGCTAACTTGGAAGACGGTGCTTAATTTTCCAGTGCTCAGAAAGCTTGTGTTCAGGCCTTTTTCACGTCATATCAGAAATAAGGTACGTCAATACTCAGCAGTGTAGGATATGTTTGTCATTTTTCATTTTTATTTCTTGAGAAATCTGGTCTAAGATTATTGAGCTAGTAGATGCAAAAGGGCCATGTATTGCTTCCAAATGCTAGTTTGTTATTGGCTTCATCTGCAATGGAAAGTCATCAGGGCAAGTAGATTGATCTTATCAATATCAATGGGCTATCATAGAAAAGAACAAAGTAGATCTTGGTTAACATTTTTGTCATGGGTTTTCGCTTTCAGGTCAAATGCTTGCCTGTGAAGTACTCTGGTTCTGAAAAAGACAATTAATTCCCCGAAAAGATCGATTTTCACAATATTTACTTCCATGATGCACAAGTCACTATGAAGCTGTATCGAATTTTGAGAGCATGTTTCTCCTTTGGGTCTAAGATATTTTTATCTTTTATCTTTATCTGTTGGCAAATCTGGTCTAAGATTTTTTAGCTAGTAGATGATTGAACTAAACAATTATTTATATGTGTAATGGTAAGTTTATGAAGAGGATCATTAAAAGTGGACAACCTTCTTTAATATAAGGAGGCATTAAAGCTTTGTTTTTCTTTTCTCCAAAATAGTATTTTTGATCTTTAAAGTATTGTTACTGTGTATAACTATGTGTTTGTATGGAATTCAATGCTTTGTTGAGTGAAAATTTTGTTTTCATGGTTGACAATCAAAGTTTTCTAGTATAAGCTGGAGTTAGGATGAGGTTTGCTGAGCTAGAACGCAAAGAATTTCTCTTATTTTTGTTGTTTGTGCAGATGACTTGTCCCCTGCACCTTTTAGAATAGTGTTCCTAGACCCTGATGGTAAGGGCTATTTAGCTAGAGTTGAAGTTTATAGTGCAGCTATAGTTAAGCTTCTGCATAATTTGTTTCTTTTTCTGGAGGTCTGTAGGTCTATCATTGGTTTACCTGATCATTGTCGCTTTTACCAAGCAATGGTAGTTTCTGGTTTTCTATGTATTGCTATTTGGGTTTATAATCTTTGCTTTCTTTATTTTCAGGTAATATGGAAGAAAAGAGAAGCACTGTAGTGAAGAGGACAAAAGCTCAAATAAAGCACAAGTTGGAGAAGAAAGGGGAAGTGAGGGAGCCCATGGTTCTCAAGAAATGAACGCTATGAAGGGAAAAAGAGGGATGAAGAAATGATTATAATTAGCAGCAGTAGCAGTGATGAAGAGCAAGAGGGAGAAAATGTACACCGGAAGATGTTCAATAGAAAGAGGAAAGGAACTGCTAAAAAGATTTTTTATGATGATGAGAGCAGTGGAAGTGATGTTAGGATTTTGGGGGAAGAGGAAGTGGTGGAAGAAGTGAAATTGAAGGAATTAGATAGGATGAGGAGGAGGAGGAGGAGGAGGAGAGACACTGTTTACAAGGGAAAGAATAATGATGGTGGAAGTGGAAGCGATGTCGTGCTTATACTGAAGAAGATATCCCCCGAAACTTGAGATGTAATTATGTCAAGGGTAGCATTTTCCATCTGGAAGAAAGAGGGGTAGAAGTGATGGAAATGCGACAAATGAAAGGATGACCATGGAGAGTGAACCTTTAGGGAATCGAGCTCAGGACAAGGGAAAAGGTCTTCTAATTAAGAATCTTGATGCTCTCGACTCACAATCCTCTATCTGAAGAGGATACTGATGATTCTGATCATACAAACCATTGGGGTTATTGTAGTGAGGATAACCTTGAAGGAGGGATAGGAAAAGATGATGGCTTCATTCAACTACCAAGTCCAAAGTCCAGAAAACAGGAACCAAGACTCGGAACATCAAGAAAGCGCTGCCTTCATGTTTCTAAGAGTGAAAGTTCTGATTCATCAGATCAGGTGCCAAAGAAGAAAAAGGAAGGCAGTAGAATACTAAACCCTGTAAGAGAAGAGAAAGAGACGTGGATTACATGAATATTCTTCTGGGTCCATGCTGAAGGATGATGAGCAGACAAAGGAAAATCCATTTTCTTTTGAAGACAATGGTCCTACTAATACACTGCCATTAAAATTCAGATTTGATGACGAGGATCTAACCCCACCGGAGAAAGAAGACTGGCAAAAAGAAATTGATAATCTTTTTACTGAGATGGAAATATGCCTTACATTACCAGATTCTGACTTTACTGAATCATCCAATTCCAAGGTAATGGTGCTCTGTTAATTATGAGAGATTTGACATTCTCTGATTACTACATTGTGATTTCTGGATTTGGAGTTACATAAGTATCTACATAGTTTCCATGACAGGTTGAACAGTTTAACTAATCCAAGAGAAACAAAAATTGTTTCTTCAATACGTTACTGCTGGTAATGTTTAGAAAGATAGCTCATTATTATGCTGCTGCCGTATTCCTTTTGTTAGATCCATTATTTGTCTGTCGGCTGATTTGGAGATTTTAGTCAATCTGCTAACGTTTTGACTTCTTCCCGGAATAGTGAAGTTGATGCCTTAGAACTTTGAAATGCTTTGGAAACATGCAGTAGGTATCATCTCATGTTGGTCATCTAATATTTGTTTCTTTCTCAGTTATTATCTAATAATCTATGGTGAACAAGATCATATATGGTTATTTTCAAATTGTTATAGTTTTGTTGACTGTATGGTTTCAGTTCTGCTGCAAGAAAAAGGAGTTAATGAAATTTAAAATACTAGTTTTACTCTGATATTTAACTTGTCCATGCATGAAAATTTGGATTATGCGGAAGTAGGCAATTTTCTCCGCTCTTGTACAATAACTTTACAATATTTGGATTGTAAGACATGTTTTCAATTTCCAAACTGTACAATATTTTGGATTGTTTGATTTGTTTTTCGTCATCGTTGTATTACGTAAATTTGTTCTAGAAATTTCATAATTGTATTCACAATCACATACAGATACTCCCATCTAGTTCTTTGCGAGATCTCAGTCATTAGACAGAAAGACATAAAAGTATTTTCTGTGTGCTATTTGTGTCATAAGAAACCTCCTAAGTTTTTCACCCTTCTGGTGAAATTTACCATTTGTCTTAGATTTGCATCGTCCAAATAATGTTCCTGATATTTTTTGCTGGCTTCGCTGTCAATTTCCAATGATGTTTTTAGTTTCCACACCTTTTGGATTTTAAATTTCTGGGTTTCATTCCTAGCACAAGAACATTGATCGAGTTTTCTTCTTATCATGCATGTTTACTCTTTTTAATCATCCGATTCTCCAAATTGAAACTCATGTGAGAAGATTTTGTGTTCTTCTGTTGTTGATCATCAGGATGGCACTCATCATGTCACTGCAACGGCCAAGTGCCAAGCAGAATTATGTCTCTCAGGGAAACATCAGCTGATTCTTGAAGAACCAATTGGAATCGTATGCAGATGTTGTCAAATTGTGCATAAGGAGATGAAGGACATATTTCCTACACTGGTATGTATTCCAACTTGTCATTTGCATTTATATTCTTACTTGAATTCCCTTCCTTTATATATGCTCCTTATAGATGAACTTAAATGAATGAACTTCATATTCCTATATATATTTTTTTTCGCTAAGCTCCTTGTTTTATTGGCTCAAAACAGAAGCGAAAGCATGTAAGATGGGGGAACACCCTGACAAAGATAGAGATATAAGAATTTCTGTTCTAAGTGCATGACACTAGGCTATTCTAGAACTCACTCTAAAACTTTAGGAGAAATGCCCAAGTCTAGGCACAGGCTCAAATTTTCTCTAGACTGAAAAACCTAGCCAACCACTAACCAAACCACAAAGGTCCTGCAAAATTTGCTTGCAAACATAGTAAGCTGGATACAACAGACTTTTGGATAAATTGCAACAACAAATCTCACCCTGCACACATTTCTATCAAATGAATTTCTAACACAGTGTTGTTCAACCTATAACAATTCAATGGACCAACTCTTAGCAATTGTATATCTAGCTAGTTCTTAGCATGATTCAAAGTCTCAACCGAGACCGAGACGACTAGGTCAAATCATCATCGGTGAGAAATCGGCCGAGAAATCTCTGATACAGACAGTCTCAGCCGAATCGGTCTGAGTCATTCCCGAGTCAAATTGCAAATTTATATTTTACACATTTTCTTTTGCTAATTTTTTTTATTTTTTTTGTTTAGCATGTTTTTAAATATTATTCACAATTTTTAGAATATTAAATGTTTCAAATTTTACGTCTCGCCGAGATCGATGTGAAACGATCCGGACCGTGATACTTTGAACCATGTTCTTAGAGAGTACGGACAAGAGTGTATGCTCAGAGATTCATAGGACCACAACCATGTTCACAGGCATACCCCGAAACAGTAGCCTATCTTTAGTACTTACTGTCCACTCACATGCATGGTTCACAGTTACAGTCGCGGTCCAAACCGTTCCATATCGGTCTTGACATATCGGTCACTGTCTCGGTGAGACGCAAATTTTGAAGCATTTAATATTCTAAAAACTATGAATAATATTCAAAAATATGCTCAACAAAAATAATAAAAAATTAGCAAAATAAAATCTGTAAAATGTAAATTTACGAGTTGATTCGGGATGACTCGGGCTGAATTGGCCTAGACTATCTGTATCAGAGATTTTTTGACCGAGTTCTCGACGAGTCAAGTATCTCGGAGTCATTTCATCTCGATATCGTATCGGAGATATCCGTTCCGATGACGACTCGGCCTAGTCGTCTCAGTCTCGGCCGAGACTTTGAACCATCATGTCAACCTTGAGATACAGGAATGTTTAAGCATATATTTCTTTCCACAGACAACTATATACCTTGATAACTATTAGACTGAGATTGAAACTTTTTCATGGTTGATCTGGTAGTGTAGAATCCTGAAGAATCAGGTTCGGATCTACCTAATTGTCAAAATCTACAATAGGCAGAAAATAAGGAGTATCATGTTTTAAAGCAGCAGCACCTCTTAATTTCCTATCAGAGAACCAAAAACAAGCACCATACTTAATGGTAGTGGCCACCTTAGCATCATTTTTACTAGCAAAGAGCTGAATAATCTGGGCTGAGTTGTGTAGCGAAATGGGACTTTACGAAATTACCAGAACTTCATGTTGTTACTTGCATTCCCAGTTATTTTTTAAATTTTATCTAAATTGCTATTGCCTGCAGAAAAAGGAGACTCCACGAAGACGGGATTGGGTTGACCTTCGCAGAGGTGAATGCTTTGGTATTCATGAGCTTCATCTTGATGACCCAGGCTCTGGAAACTATTACACCTCCGTTGATGCTGAAGGCTCTGTACTGGATCTTATTCCAGATCACATTAGGATGTCAATGTATAGTCATCAGCTGGATGGATTTGTCTTCTTGTGGAAAAACATAGTAGGAGAAACCTGCATCGAGAAGCTGAAAACTGAACTTTCTGATGATGGAAGAGGAGCCATAATATCACATGCCCCTGGCACCGGGAAGACCTGCTTGACAATTGTTTTTATTCTGTCTCTGTTGAAAATGTATCCAATGTGCCGACCCGTGATTATAGCTCCTACAAGCATGCTGCTCACCTGGGAAAATGAGTTCCGAAAATGGGGATATAGAATTCCTTTTCATAACTTTAATAGCAAGGATTTGTCAGGAAACGAACTCAAAACTGATGCAGAATTTCTTCGGAGAGTAGGAAGCCGAATGACAAAGCTGTACTCGTGGACAAAGGAGAAAAGTGTTCTAGGAATCAGCTACAAGTTGTTTGAGCAGATTGCTAGTGGACAGAAGGGAAAAGGAAGCGATGAAAAACTTAAGGAAATCTTTCTTCAACTGCCTGGTCTTGTGGTTCTTGACGAAGGGCACACGCCTCGCAATCAACAGAGTCTTGTCTGGAAGGTTTTGACAGGAGTTAAGACAAAAAGAAAGATAATCCTCTCTGGAACTCCTTTTCAGAATAACTTCGAGGAGTTGTATAATACTCTTTGCCTGGTAAACCCAAAGCTTTCTGGTTCAATGAACTCTGAGAGTCGCAGCAGAAGATGGCAGCGGAAGAGCAATGTGGAGAAAGAGAGATGGGTTTCCTTGACCAATGCCATTGATAAGAACTCTGGCAACGCAGTAGAGGAGCTTAAAGCCATGATAGATCCCTTTGTACATGTACACAAAGGTTCTATACTAGAAGAGAGTCTCCCTGGTCTGAAGGACACACTTGTTATTTTGCGACCAACTGATGAGCAGAAGGGCATTCTTCAGCTTATATCGGATGATCGGAGCAGGTTTGACCAAGTACATTTGGTGTCACTCATTTCTGTCCACCCCTCATTAGCTGCTTTCAGCAAACGCTTCTCTGGCGACAAAGACAGACTACGGGTACTTGAATGCAGTCCTTATGCTGGAGTAAAGACGAAATTTGCCATTGAGCTCATCCGATTATGTGATGCATCGCATGAGAAGGTTATAGTTTTCAGTGAATTTATTCACCCTTTGAGATTCATAATGCAGCAGTTGATAGATCAGTTAAAGTGGAGGGAAGGCATAGAAGTGCTGTATATGGATGGAAAACGTGACGAGAAGAATCGCCAGTCATCAATTAGTTCTCTGAATGATCCCTCCGGTAAGGTGAAAGTTCTTTTTGCGTCCACAAAAGCTTGTTCTGAAGGAATAAATCTTAGTGGGGCTTCAAGAGTTGTTCTGTTAGACGTCGTTTGGAATCCTGCAGTTGAAAGGCAAGCAATAAGCAGAGCATATAGGCTTGGCCAAAAGAAGTTTGTCTATGTTTATCATTTGATAACCTCTGGGACCTTGGAGGTTGAAAAGTATGCTCAACAGGCTAACAAAGATCGCTTGTCTGAGTTGGTATTTTCTTCTCGAGACAGGCAAAGGATCAAGTCCAGAATCTCATCTGTTTTCGAGGACAAAATCTTGGAAGGAATGCTTGACAACAAAATGCTGATGATATCTTTGAGAATGTTATTCACCAGCCAAAGGAATCAAATGTATTTGCAAACTTCAATTATGTTGAGCACAGGGATTAGCCAAAAGACCTTTCGCTGCTGCATCTCTCATCAGTTGTTGATGCTGTCGCCTTTTGTTTGGGAGCTCCAGCGACCTTTCTTCTGATAGCTTTTGAAACTTGCTGCACTTTGTCATTGAGTATACTCTGATAATACATGAAACTTGTTCTATGTTTTAAAATTGTTGCACAGTGATGTGTTTCTAAACTTTCATCAAAGGTTTTTCTGTTGTATTTTAATCAGCATTGTTTTACAGAATGGTTTTTGGTAGTTTTCCAGCCATGTCTTTTGTTGCCTGAGAAAGTACTTGTTCTATGATGATCAAGTAATTGTACTGTTTTTCATTCAATGTTATCACTGTTTTTGCAGGGAATAACTACTCTGTGCTGCAGGCATCTAATGAAAACTCAAAAAGACAGCTTGGTTTTGCTCACAGCTGTTTTTATTTACAGGAGGTTGGTGATGCTGTTATTAGTTACCCAATGTTCTACCTGTTTTTTTTTTTTTTTCCAAAAAACAAATTAAAATTGCAACAATGGGAGCTCATCCATGTATTTAGTATCTATTCTCTTTTTTCTTTTCGGTATCAACTGCATATCATATCGTAGTAATAATTGTTAAAATTGATAGCTTAAGAGTGCTAAGTGCAAATTTATGATAGTTCAAGGGTGCAAATTGTAATTAACCTTTCCTCTTTTTTTTTTTTTTTTTTACCTACTTTCAAGTTTCACCCCTATCTTCCTGCTCTCTACTCATGCTTTTTCTTTTTTTTTTTTTTTCCCTCTCACTCTTGGAGCACATTCTAACACCAATGATCCCATAATTCCAAGGTATATTATAGTGCAATTTACACTTTTCTTTCAACTATTTTCCTCTAAAGTTTGGAATATTTGAGGAAGGATTAAATGAAATAACAGGGCTTATGTCCCAAAGGCAGTATAGGAAGGTTGAAGAGATTCAATCTCAAATGAGTACATAACAACCCCCTAGGAGATCTAGTGGACGTGGTCATCCCAACTTGGCTGCCGACTCACATTCGCCGGTGGATCTCTTCTTCTCAGGGTTGCGGATCCGTGGTGGCGGTGACAGTGCGGGCCTCCCACCTCCTCCTTGCCATCCTCACCAATTGCTTCAACAACGTGGTAATATTTTATTAATTATGCAACGTTCTGCATGCATGCATGCATACGTGCTTTTTCATTTTTTACTATGATGTACAAGGTAAAATAGGGTTAAAAATGGAAAATTTTGAAAACAATCCTGCTTTCTTTAGTAATAGGGGCATGCCTTGCTTAGAGGGTTTAGTTCTGCTCTATTTTAATAGTTGAATGGGAAGTAGTAATATGAAAAATTCAATGCTTCATATATATATAATGGTAAATGCATGAATTCTAGGGTGTAAATTAAATGAGTCTAATTATGCCATACGTCTGTTTTATATAGTAGATGAAGCTAAGCGAGCTATGCATCAGCTAACTTGTATTTGAATTTGTCTTTGATTATTTTTTTCACTTGAGCTCAAATACAGCTCAAGAATCTCGATTAATGTATACAGAATTCTAATTTTTTGCATTCCAATTGTTATGCATGCTTGAGTTTTGCATTCCAATTGTCACTCTTCACTTGGCATAAGTAGAATGAGAAAGTACTTTGGAACATGTCTACCTTTGGATGGTGGCCTCTTGGGCAGTTAGATAAATTCTTTGACAGAATTGAATTGTCCATAATCTAACTAGAGTGAAATTCCTGTAGATACAACACAATTATTGCTCCTTTCTTGCTTGGACCTCTACTTTCTCTGTTAGGAAGCACAACTGGAGAATGGTTATATTTTTGTAGCTTGACACATCGTCCAAATTGCAAGATATATATGTTTCTGAAGGGTTTTCAATAACCAAGTTTCGAGGGATCTAGAAAGCAAAACTGCAAGCTGGTTTGATTATATTAATAGTACTCGATTTTGTATTCCTTTTGGGGTTATGTAGTCAAATTAAATCCTTGCCTTTTTAAATTCTTTAGATGATAATAGTTCTTTTTTGAACGTTTCAAGAATGAAATTCCTCATCTTCAACCCGAAGCTAAAAGAGACATGCCTGTTCAGGTGGCTTCTGTTGCTCCAGCTATCAGTGGTACACGAGCATTTCTCTTGCTGTTCGTGGGGTCTCAGTGGCAACTTCCTCATTTCAGCAACTAGATTTTCAGTTTAAATTTGGCATGTCTAGGCCAAACGCATGGTCTCAAGGAATAGCATCTGAATCAGTTCAAATGTCCATTCAATCTCCAATTGCAGGCTCTTCCCAATTTCAAGAGTCTGCATATCTTCCCAGCTTCCAGCCATATGTTTTGCAGCCACAAGTGATGCAGAATGGTCAGGGATTGAGCTTTTCTACTACACTTGGTCATCATTTTGGTTCTCCATCTGTCAACAATGATGGGATTCTTCTATTGCATGCGCAAAATGATTTCAGCAATGCAAAGCGTAAAATGTCCATAAAGATTACTCATCCAGAAACTAAAGAAGAGTTAAAACTTGATGAGCTTGCAAAACCAAAGCATGATAGTGGTTCTGCTGGTACAAGAGCACAATTACCATGGAGCTCCAACCCCAGCCTTTCACTTGTGGTAACTCTCACTTAATGAATTATTTTCCTTATATGCAGCCATATCCCTTTTCTTCGCCCAGTCCAAGTCCAATACCTTTTTCAAGCATGCAGATGCTTCCCGTGAAGTCAAGGGTTAACTATTTAGGTAGGTAAGGCTCTATTTAGTTGATTAAGCTCATATTATGCAGATAAATGCTAGTAGCAGGGAGGAAACTATATTTTTCTCTTAACATGTTTTTCTGCTGCAGATTATCGTGCAGATTTTCATGGTGCAGTATAGAATCTAGGTCGGAATATAGTTCCTCATTCTCAGTTCCTACTAGTACTGAGTTAGCTTTTCTTTCTGTTGGAGAAAAGATTTTATCTCCAGTGTCAGTCAATTCAGTTGTGAATGATAAAAGTGAAGCAATTAAGTCAAGGAAACCTCAAAGAGTTGGCTCTGGACAAAAGAAATCAAAGATTCATTCAGAATCGCTGTTAAACCCCCATCTGAAGTGGTTATTAAACCAACGACCTCAATTGTATCATCTCATAGAGCTATTCCTTCTCTGTATCTGTTGAGGGGGATCTTACTGGGGAGCGCGCCAATGGTGATGGTAAGAAGTCTGTGCCCATGGAAAATTCAAGTACCTTAGCAAACCAAGGAAGTGCAGCCTGTCATTGAAAATATTCACAAAAAGCAAATTGTGGATGAGTTTAGATTGCCAGAAACTAGTAAAAAAATGGAAAAAGGTAAACCGAAGGACTGGAAAAATTTTGCTGATATTTCCACTCCAGAATTGCATATTTCAAGGAAAGTTGAACTGCATCAGAACATGAGCAATGCTGCTTCAGATAGCATTATAGTTCCAGGGAAAAAGAGGTATTCAAGAGATTTTCTCCTCACACTTTCAAGTCAGTTTGTTGAACTTCCTACTGATTTTGAATTAGTGGGTGACATGATAAAGGGGATTTTGGTTTCCAAAGTTCTGGATGATTTAGGGTACAGAGTTGAGGATGGTAGCAAGCGGATCAAAATGCTTGCTCCATCTGCATTTGCAGAGGAGCTACAATTTGGGAATACGCAGGGGAATTTGGTGTTCATTCCAGGCCAGGGACCTATAGAAGGAACTTGCATGGGCAGACTCCTGACCATTGTGATGGTGGTTTTGCAACTTCATTTTTGCCACGGTCATCTCATTCTAGAACAAGAAATAAATGTCCTGAACCTGACCATTGGCAACAAGATGCATTCTTAGATATTGGGCTTATTTCTTCACCTCAGTCTCCTCTGCAAGTTATGCACTTAGCTGAGAAAAAATATAAGGTACACAAAGGGATTGATGGTGAAGAGGCGAAGCAAAGACGAGTTGAAGGCTATTCTTAACAAGCTAACGCCTCAAAACTTTGAGAGGCTCTTTCAGCAAGTGAAGGAAATTAATATTGATAACTCAATCACTCTTTCTGGTCTTATTTCTCAGATATTTGATAAAGCTCTTATGGAACCAATGTTTTGTGAGATGTATGCAGATTTTTGTTATCATCTTGCTCAAGAGCTTCCTAATTTTGTTGAGGGCGTGAGAAGGTTACATTTAGAGGACTTTGCTTAATAAATGTCAAGAGGAATTTGTGAGAGGGGAAAGACAGCAGGCAGCTAATATAATAGAAGAGGGTGGGGAGGCCAGGCTATCTGAAGAGAAAGAGAAGAAAAGAGGATCTGTGCCCGAAGAAGGATGTTAGGCAATATAAGATTACTTGGGGAACTCTACAAGAAGAAAATGTTATCAGAGAGATTAATGCATGATTGCATCCAGAAACTACTTGGAAAACATGATTCTCCAGAGGAAGATGACGTTGAGGCTCTCTGCGAGCTAATGAACACTGTTGGTGAGGTTATTGATCATCCTAAAGCTAAGAAGCAATGAATGCATGTTTTGAGGTGATGAAGAATTTGTCAAACAACAGTGAGTTGTCGTCAAGGATGAGGTTCATTTTGAAGGATGTTATTGATCTTAGAAAAAATAGATGGCAGCAGAGGAGAAGAGTTGAAGGCCCAAAGAAAATTGATGAACTACATATTGACGCAGCTCAGAACGACGAGCACTTGTCAATCGACTGACTAGTGTTTCAAATGTCAATTCATCAAATAAAAAGTTTTCTGCAAATTTCAGTCCTAGGCAATCAAGTTTCCAGTCTCGAGAAATATGAGAGTTAGTACATTTCATGCAATGAGATCGCATGTTCCTGGATTCGCAAGTCAGGATGTCCGTTTGGAAGACAAAATCTATGCAAGCAAGGAACACTACAAGTTCCCTTTCCACAAAGATTGAGCCGGGGTCAACACCTTGGTCATGCCAAGAAAGTCTCTCTCAGGGCACCACCAATGGTTGATGGTTTACATACTGATTTAGGCAAATCTAGGAGTACAGCGGCTTCTCCAAATGGTTTCAGTTCTAAATCGGAGCAGAAGCAGTATAACACGAGCAACATTCAGCGCCAAGAAACGCAACCAATATTTTCAGGCCAGCATCAGGTTATGACCAGCCAAACAAGCAGAGAAATAACCATAATGTAAATAGAGACTTTTACCAACCAAAAATTGTGGAAAACTAATAGCAGCTCCTGTGATCATCCATCCCGTTAAACCGATTCTCCTCTCAACTGTTCTATCGAGAAAGGTTTGTACTGTAGAATGCTTTGAAGAAAGATCCGTGGCTGCAATGCAAGATTTTACAGGTAATATCTTGGATCTGATTATGCATTTTTGCTTTAAATTGCTCGAAATGTATTTTGTTTTCCACGATTTTATGCTCATATTTGTCCATCAAAATGAGAATGTCGTGTGCTATTTCTTGGTACTTGAATATACACTCAGTTATTTTGCTTAAAGTGCAAGGGACGAAATGAGGTTATTTTGTATGTTAGAGGGCCTGAACTCAACAAAATAGCATCCATTAGTATTTTAAAAAAAAAGAGAGAGGAGGTTGAGAATGGATGGAGATAAAGATCTTTTCTCTGGCCTCCTTGTCAATCTGCTTGACTCTAAAACTGGAGATTCTGTTGTCAGTTAGCTTATTAAGAGGCAAGCAATTGTTTTATTTAACTTGAATGCTTTTGCACACAGTTGAGGTTATAAACATACACTGCATTAACCTTGATATCTAAGAATACACAATTTATCAGTCATCACCAGTTCTGTGGCCTTAACTTCTATAACTTTTTCAGAGCTAACCTCCTCCTTTTTTTTTCCATGTCTTGGTTCCATCAAATTGTTTGCATGATCAGGTTTAAATTGGTTCTAGCAACCTTGGCAGGATGCTGATACTGATGCACTGAATACTGTAGCATCACTGTTGTAAGGTCCTCCCATTAGAAGAGTCAAAAAGCTAAAAAGCCAAAGCGGCAAGGAACTTTTACGGTGCTGAAAATTGGAAGTTGGGAGAGCGTCTGCTGAAGGAGTTTTGAAGGCGTTCCCACATGCAGTTGGTCCATTTTCGCCCGTGGGGTTCTCTCAAGTGACAGATTTATGATCATTTGGCAGAATTTCCCTGCTATCATATGAATTAAGTTTATAGCACTATCAAGCTTATTGTAGCTCTTAGGCAGAAATGTTTTGTTGCAGATACAGGTATGGTATGTGAATTTTCCTGCTGTTGTAGAGTGCGTCTCTTTTTCAGCTAAATTATACCAATACTCTTAATTTTTTTAGCACAAACTTAACAAATTTTTTCTCGTGTGCCCGTTTGATAAAACTAAAATCTGAAAGCTGAAATCTGAAATTTGAATCAATTAAGTTATTAAATTGTTAAGTGAATAACTTATCACTTAATTTTGAAAGCAAGTTTTGTTTAAGAAATTTAGTACTACTTAATTAATTCAGATGTTCAATTTTTAATTATCAAACGGTCTGAATGTGTTAAGATTTGAATCTATTAATTTTAAGTGTTGAATTGAATTATCAAACTGCTAATAGTCTTTGCTCTTTGTTGCTGACAAATCCCTCAATATAGAAATCTTTTTGGTTTATTGACCTGCGTCCTTAGCAATTAGCATTAGTAACTTGATCGCCTCTGCTGGGCCAATGGCTCAGTGGCTACGAGGGAAGGACTTTGGGCAGTTGGTGAGGGTTCAAATCCTTGGGCAGTTAGTGAGGGTTCAAATCTCACCAGCAGTGAAAAAAATCTAAGGGTTGTACCATAGCACTCCCTTTGTCTAGTTGGGTCAAATCTAAGGGTTGTGCCATAGCACTCCCTTGGTCTAGTTGGGTCTGTATACCCACTAGCCCCTATCACAGCCTCTTTAGGCTCCCCTTCTCCTAGATTAGGATAGAGTAGATTATACAAATGTATCATTACTGACAAAAAAAAAAAAAAAAAACTTGACCGCCTCTGCGGACGCTAGGCGTTTGAAGGACTAATGTTGAGCAAAGAAACCTTGGTGCGATTTCTTTCCTTCCTATTTTATTTTTCTTCCGTGGAAAGAAAGAAAATGAGGAGTGCCACTTTTGAAAGACCTCTTTTAATAAGGTCAACATTTTTCGTGCCATCACATCAAAGTTTAGCATGTTAATGCCTACCATCTAACTACAATAATTCTTTTTAAGTGAAATGTTAATATAAAAAAAAGGATTTAATTTAGCCAATTTTTACCGAATTTATTGCTGCATTATTCTAGTAAACTACTGAATTTATCAAAACTAAATTGTACTAATAGTACACCATTAGATAGCACATTTCTCATTGGATAATAAGTACAAATTCTTTGAATCAATCGAGCAGGCATTAATTTAAAAAATCAAAAGAACTTTGCAAGTAAGAAATTACCTATACAGTTTTTTTTTTAAAAAAACAAAACATTTAAAGCAACTCAGAAGACAAGAGGCCTTCCAAACATATTTTACTAGAATTACTTGGGGGTGAAAATTGTACCTAGTGATAATTTAAGGGGTAGTTTTAGATTGACCTTAAACTGTAGACAACCCGTGCCCAAAAGTGTTCGCCCGGCCGACCCGATCCAAAGTTCTTGTAAGAAAATAGGCATAATTTTAGAAACCTCCTCTAAGGTTTTTAATAATTTTACTAGCCTCCTCTAAAGTTTATAAAATTATACAAACCTCCCTCGAGATTAAGGTTTTGATATTCAATTAGAAAAAATAACTGTTTTGGATTGTAAATTATTTGAGATGATTTTGTGAAAAAGTACTGTAGCACTTTTTGATATGATGTATATGAGATAAAAAGGTGATTGAAAAATGTATTGATGATGCAAGCAAATCAGTGTGTGTAAATAAGGTGTAAATAAAGTGAAATAACACACAATCCAAACACACTCAATTAAAAAAGTACTTTTAAAGAGAGAGATGAAACTTTTATTCCATAAATATCCCTTATACACATATATGAGTCGTATTAGTAAAAGAATAAAAATAATTAAAAGTTAGAAATAATTAATACATACATTTAATCACTCAAAAAGTTCATATTTAATAAATTAAACAATACAACTAAGTAATAAAAATACACTAATGATTACAAGATTTAACAAAACAGACTAGTTATCTCTTTTAATATGATGTTTGCTATAATTCTTGTGATTTTGAACAGAAAAATTTTTTAATTTTGCATTTTTTCCCTCCTTTCAATTTTTTTTGAAACTCTTAAAGTTGTGACAATTGCAAAGTAATTCACGGAAACAAAGGAGAAAGGAAAGAAAAGAAAAGCAAAATTTAAAAAAAAAATTGTTCAAAATCACAAAAATCATACTCCCTCCGTCCCATTGAAAGTGTCATGCTTTCCTTTTTGGGTTGTCCCAAAATATTTGTCACTTGCTAAATATAGTAAAGATTTTTCATTCAATTTCACTCTTTTAGCCTTTTGATCCCCACAATAATCAAGTGAAGTGCCCTTGAGCCCTTTGAGCCACTTGTTCAGTATTCACGTGCTTCAAAACTTCATATGAATATATGGAGTGAAAAATCATAAGGAACTTGGTTGAAACTTCAGCGTGCAAAGCATGCACAAGACATATGCAAACAAAACAAAAGTTCTGGTCCTACCTCCAATAGTTCTTTAGGCTTTTAATTTGAATTAGCATCAATACCGGATTCCCAGTGCATTTACACGAGAAGCTTGGGCGAGGGACAAAATGGTAAGCAACTCACCTGTGCTGGAACTATTCATAAAAAACACAGTTTTCTAAGTGCGACGAAATTTTTGGGACGGAGGGAGTAACAAATATCATGTTAAAGAATATGGCTAGTCTGTTTTGCTGAATCTTTTGATTATTAATATAAGTTTATTGCTTATTTGTATTGTCTAATTTTTTAAATGCGAACATTTTGAGTAGTGAAATGTGTGTATTAATTATTTCTAACTTTTAATTATTTTCATTCTTTTACTAATTCAATTTATATATTTGCATAAGGGGTATTTATGCAATAAAAGTTTTACCTCTCTCCTTAAAGTACTTTTTTAATGTTACTTTTTCTAATTGGACCAATTTGTTAGGTAAAGCTTAACCTTGGGGGAGGTATGTGTACTTTTATAAAATTTAGGGAGGCTAGTGAAATTATTATAAACCTCAGGGGAGGTTCTGAAATTATCCCAAAAAAATAAAACAGGAGAATTAGGGCTTTTTAGTCAGTCAGTCGTTCGTCTTCCTGTTCAGCAGCCGCTCTCTTCCTCTCCGCTACCAGACTTCAGTCACCAATCGATCAAAAATGGTAAAATTTGATCTCAAATTTGCACCACTAGATTTAAATCTCTGTGCATAATTTTGTTTTCGTTTGACTTGTAGATCAAACATTTTATGGTCTATCTTTTTGGTCCGGAAACTTTAGTTTGTCGAAATATTTTTTCCTTAATTTCTACGAATATGGATGACGTAATCCTGTTGTAGCTTGTAATTTGTGGTGAAAATGTAGTTTTTCCGTAGATGATATATTTTGTTTGGCAGCTATGGCATGTAAATTCAACTGATTTTTGAAGAGGAAAGGTTTTGTGAAGTGGATACCTGGGATATGTAGTATGAAATAAAGACGGAGATTTAGGTATTTTAAGGTTCGCAATAAACAAACAGCATGATGCTTAATTTTGACTATATAGGTTGGCAAAGGTTGCGATATTCGAGCTTTGGCCTTCCCTTGAATTGTCGAAGGACATTTTAATATCTAAGTTTAATTTGGTTTCTTGGGGATGGCATGAAATTATTTGGTTTGCTTTTGGTTTACTGAGCAAGGAAAGCTTCTTTTCGGCTATCTGATGCCCTTGTGGAAAATTCTTATGAACTAGTATTCTGCTTGCAATTCCAAGATTTCTGTGTCTAACTGGTTTTCAAAGGATGCTGAGAAATTAAGAATTTCTTTTCCATGTATGCGTTTTCTGCTGTATTTACTTGTTGGGTTCTTCAACTCATTGTGGATAGAGGAGTAATTGTTCATAACTCTGAGAGGATTTATAATTGTGGAAATGCATTATCTCTGGTGCAGACGAAGAGGACAAAGAAGGCTGGAATTGTTGGAAAGTATGGTGAGTTTAGCTCCTGTCCTCCGCAATTATCTAATCTTGTGATTTCTCACAGTGGATTGTGGTTTTTTAAGTTTGCATTTTCATGCGGATGATAATAGACTTACAGGATGTCATATAGCGTGTAATGAATGAGGGTATAAATGGCATGCTGCAAGAGTAGTCTCACTTGTTTGATGAGAAGACTCTGCATCTAACTTCAAAATTTGGTAATTAGGAACATGTTGACGAGAAATAGCCAGTGTAATTTTTAATATAATCAATATATCAATTTATGCTGTTCAAAATGGTCGGTAGATTCTTTTTCTATTCAATGAATATGGTGGCTTGACGTTCCATTAATCATTTACAGTTATTTTCTTAAGTTGCTTTGACTCTGTGTTTTTGAACTGATGTTCATTCTGGTTGTGGTTGACCGTTGCATTTTGATACAACTTCAGCTCTCTTACGATAGCCTGTATTTGTGTGCTGAATTTATAGGTGCAGGTTCGAGTTTAAATTTTATGTAATTGCTGACAGCTTTTTTAATATTCAGGTACACGCTATGGTGCCAGTCTGCGGAAGCAGATTAAGAAGATGGAGGTTAGCCAGCATAGCAAATACTTGTGTGAATTTTGTGGAAAGGTTTGGCTTTTCTTGTTGATACGTGTTGATTAATTTGGAAGACAGTTTGGCTATCAAAATTTGAAGTTTGTTCTATAGGATGCGGTTTAGTTCTAATGAAACGTTGATGATCACGCAGTACGCTGTGAAGAGAAAGGCGGTTGGAATCTGGGGCTGCAAAGATTGTGGCAAAGTTAAAGCAGGAGGAGCATACACATTGAAGTAAATTCACTGAAACTGACATGTTTACATTTTTCTTTTTCCTCTTGGCAATTAACTAATTATGTTTTCTCTGTTTTTCCTTCCTTTGCTGTGTAATAGTACTGCAGTGCTGTGACAGTCAGGAGCACAATTCGGAGGCTGAGGGAGCAAACCGAGAGTTGATCTCGAGTCAGATTTTCTCATGCTGATTGTATAACAAATATCATGTCAAAGGATATGGCTAGTTTGTTTTGCTGAATCTTATGATTATTAATGTAATTTTATTGATTATTTGTATTGTCTATTTTTTTAAATTCGAACATTTTGAGTAGTGAAATGTGTGTATTAATTATTTCTAACTTTTAATTATTTTCATTCTTTTACTAATTCAATTTATATATTTGCATAAGGGGTATTTATGAAATAAAAGTTTTACCTCTCTCCTTAAAGTACTTTTTTAATGTTACTTTTTCTAATTGGACCAATTTGTTAGGTAAAGCTTAACCTTGGCGGAGGTATGTGTACTTTTATAAAATTTAGGGAGGCTAGTGAAATTATTATAAACCTCAGGGGAGGTTCTGAAATTATCCCCAGAAACTAAAACAGGAGAATTAGGGCTTTTAGTCAGTCAGTCGTTCGTCTTCCTGTTCAGCAGCCGCTCTCTTCCTCTCCGCTACCAGACTTCAGTCACCAATCGATCAAAAATGGTAAAATTTGATCTCAAATTTGCACCACTAGATTTAAATCTCTGTGCATAATTTTGTTTTCTTTTGACTTGTAGATCAAACATTTTATGGTCTATCTTTTGGTCCGGAAACTTTAGTTTGTCGAAATTTTTTTTCCTTAATTTCTACGAATATGGATGGCGTAATCCTGTTGTAGCTTGTAATTTGTAGTGAAAATGTAGTTTTTCCGTAGATGATATATTTTGTTTGGCAGCTATGGCATGTAAATTTGACTGATTTGTGAAGAGGAAAGGTTTTGTGAAGTGGATACCTGGGATATGTAGTATGAAATAAAGACGGAGATTTAGGTATTTTAAGGTTCGCAATAAACAAACAGCATGATGCTTAATTTTGACTATATAGATTGGCAAAGGTTGCGATATTCGAGCTTTGGCCTTCCCTTGAATTGTCGAAGGACATTTTAATATCTAAGTTTTATTTGGTTTCTTGGGGATGGCATGAGAAATTATTTGGTTTGCTTTTGGTTTACTGAGCAAGGAAAGCTTCTTTTCGGCTATCTGATGCCCTTGTGGAAAATTCTTATTAACTAGTATTCTGCTTGCAATTCCAAGATTTCTGGGTCTAACTGGTTTTCAAAGGATGCTGAGAAATTAAGAATTTCTTTTCCATGTATGTGTTTTCTGCTGTATTTACTTATTGGGTTCTTCAACTCATTGTGGATAGAGGAGTAATTGTTCATAACTCTTGAGAGGATTTATAATTGTGGAAATGCATTATCTCTGGTGCAGACGAAGAGGACAAAGAAGGCTGGAATTGTTGGAAAGTATGGTGAGTTTAGCTCCTGTCCTCTGCAATTATCTAATCTTGTGATTTCTCACAGTGGATTGTGGTTTTTTAAGTTTGCATTTTCATGTGGATGATAATAGACTTATACGGTGTCATATAGCGTGTAATGAATGAGGGTATAAATGGCATGCTGCAAGAGTAGTCTCACTTGTTTGATGAGAAGACCGTGCATCTAACTTCGAAATTTGGTAATTAGGAACATGTTGACGAGATATAGCCAGTGTAATTTTTAATATAATCAATATATCAATTTATGCTGTTCAAAATGGTCAGTAGATTCTTTTTCTATTCGATGAATATGGTGGCTTGAGGTTCCATTAATCATTTACAGTTATTTTCTTAAGTTGCTTTGATTCTGTGTTTTTGAACTGATGTTCATTCTGGTTGTAGTTGACCGTTGCATTTGGATACAACTTTAGCTCTGTTACGATAGCCTGTGTTTGTGTGCTGAATTTATAGGTGCAGGTTCGAGTTTAAATTTTATGTAATTGCTGACAGATTTTTAATATTCAGGTACACGCTATGGTGCCAGTCTGCGGAAGCAGATTAAGAAGATGGAGGTTAGCCAGCATAGCAAATACTTGTGTGAATTTTGTGGAAAGGTTTGGCTTTTCTTGTTGATACGTGTTGATTAATTTGGAAGACAGTTTGGCTATCAAAATATGAAGTTTGTTCTATAGGATGCGGTTTAGTTCTAATGAAACGTTGATGATCACGCAGTATGCTGTGAAGAGAAAGGCGGTTGGAATCTGGGGCTGCAAAGATTGTGGCAAAGTTAAAGCAGGAGGAGCATACACATTGAAGTAAATTCACTGAAACTGACACGTTTACATTTTTCTTTTTCCTCTTGGCAATTAACTAATGATGTTTTCTTTGTTTTTCCTTCCTTTGCTGTGCAATAGTACTGCAAGTGCTGTGACAGTCAGGAGCACAATTCGGAGGCTGAGGGAGCAAACTGAGAGTTGAGCTTGAGTCAGATTTTCTTATGCTGATTGTAGTACTGGACAGCTGTGTCTTAAATTAGATCTTTTCCCTGTTTTGCTGAATATGTTGCTGTAAAAACAGCTGGTTAGTTGTCAACCAACTGTTGGAGCTAGATTTTGTTAGACAAAATTTCTGTTATGTTACTATTAATCGATGTTTGAATTACTATGGTGCAATTAAATGGTTTCACGAGATGGCTTTTGGAATTCTTATTTTCACCTTTGTGATGTGTAGTGTAGCTGGACTGCTGACAAAACTACCGCCTGAAAGCAAGCTCCAATGTGAAGCAAATCTTTGATTTAAACCCATAACCATAAAGCACAGTGCTATTCTGCTAAACTAGGCCTGTCTTGAAGCTCAGATTATGGATGTCAAATAGCAGAACTGCCCTTAAAGCTGTGAAGTCCTGAACCGGGGGTTCAATTTTGTTGCTAAATTTCACACTTGTTCAAAGTTATCGGTTTTTAAATCCGGAAATGCTTGCGTAGGGAGAAGGTGCGCTTTTTGGCAGTGTCGAAGGTGCCCGATTATGCTGCGGTTGCTATGATGCTACTTTTCTGCTTTACTATTAAGTATTAATAGCACTATCCAACGCGAAGCAAAAGCAACCGGTCTACTTTTTTTAATCATATGAGCACAATATTTTTGGTTTTAGTACTAGTTTTTTTTATGATGATGGAATTGGAATGAGAATTGTGGCTAATTAGTAATTTTAATATTAGTTTTTTTTGTATATTGCAGTGTTTTATTTTTTAATTGCCAACTATTAATTCATAACCACTATCATTATTTTCAATTATTGGAATGCGCTAAATCTATCTAATTACAATTGTCAGCATAAATGAAATTTACTTAATTTTAAAGCTTTTCATTTCACTTTCATTATTCACTAATATTGCAATACAATAAATATATGTAATCATTAGAAAAATAAGGGTATTTTGGACATCATCAAAAATAATTTGGATGTCATTTTCATTTTATCATTTTTTATTTTAAATTTACTCTTATTATAATTTTTATTTTATCATTAAAAATGGCTTATGACTTGATAGATGGATTTGGTTTACTCAAACCAATACAAACGAAGCATTACTATATTATAGTCAATAACAATGTTTGTCTTCCCCTAGATATCAGTGATTTGGATGATGTTTTTGATATTATTTGAATTGTATTCTAACTTTTTAATTCATTTGTTATTTATTTTATGTCACTTTATAAATAGTTTTTATTTTTTTTTTTAGTTTTTTCTTGTTTCGATCGGTTGCTATTAATGATAATAGTGGTTTGTATGATGTTATTTCAAATTTCTTTTTTCTAGTTTAATACTACTATTTTTATAAAGGTGTCATCATTTTTTGTATATTGAAATTTCATTGAATGTAACATGAAAATTTTTTCATATTAGTAAAAAGTGCATAATTGTAAAATTTACTCTTGATATTTGTATGAAGATATACAAATAAATAAGGGTTCTCCTATCCTTGTATGTTTCTTCATTTTCTAGAGAGTATATATTTTTTAAAATTTATTTTTTTCTTTTTACAATCTCAACTAATGACTAATAAGAAATTTTTCATGCTTTAATTAAGATATTTTGATACGTATAATAATTGGAGATGGAGTCCAAGGGTAGGTAAATAGTTGTTAATGAACAATTTTAATTATAATTATCAATACTATTAAAATGTAATCAATTAGAGTATTTTATTTCCTTTAATTAGTGTCATATCAAAATGTAATAATTCTAATTAAAAGACAAAAAGGTAATTTAAGAATAATAAAAATTAAAATAAAAAAGTGGTCCATAATGATTTTAGCTGGACATAATTTACGCAACTGAAATTATCCTCAATGTGAATGAAAGCGGTGATTTTGCACGTAAATGAACTCCTCCATTTCGAACGTTGAGAATCGAAGGAAGTCTTGGAAAGAGAGATGCAGCTCCTTAAACAAAGGAGGAAGAATTGAAAACTTGAGTATGTGATCACGCGCATCGGATCAGTGGAAGGCAGGCGGAGATGCCATGCCCAATCCCAAAGAAATCAGTTAACGCTGTCCAGAGTTATAAACAAATCCCCTTATATCATTTCAATGATTATCTTCATCTCCTTGGCGATTGCATATCATCAAAATCATTAACACCAGGCAAACTAATCCATCAAAATCTCCTCAAAAACCCGAACTTTAACACCAAAAATAAATCTTGTATTACGTTACTGGATAAGCTTTCTAAGCTCTTTATTACATGCAGCAAACCAGAACTAGCTCATAAAACCTTCAACTCAATCCCAAGCCCAGAAAGGCAAAAGAAGGGAATTTTATGGAACCAATTGATTAGGTCCTACGCTTGGGAAGGACCCTTTGAGAACGCCATCCATTTGTACTATGAGATGGTGGATATTGGAGTCAAACCCACAAAATTTACATACCCTTTTGTCCTTAAAGCTTGTGCTGCATTGCAGGATATAGATAATGGTGTGAAGATTCATGATCATGTAAAAAGAGATGGGCTTGCCTCAGATGTTTATATTTCTACTGCTTTGGTTGATTTGTATGTTAAATGTGGGTGTTTGCTTGAGGCGAGACAGGTGTTTGATGAAATGCCTGAGAGAGATGTTGTTGCATGGAATGCAATGATTTCAGGGTTCTCGATTCATGGGATGTATGGGGATGTGATTCATTTAGTT